TGTTATAAGATGTGAGTTCTTATAGTGTATGACTGGTCGGGTCATGTTTGTATATGGTGTCAGAATGGAAGTTCTATGGGAGTTAAAGCTTGTCCATGTCTAGGAACTCTAGAGGCGGCAATCCTATGGGTAGTCAGGTTCGTCCGTTTGCTAGAGGGGCTGAGAAATAGAGGTTTTATGTGAGTTAGAACCCGTCTATTTCCTAGGGAGAGTCTGGACAAGACGGTTTTATGTGTGATTAGAGCTTATCGTTTTCCAGGGACTTTGGGTTGGGAAATAGAGATCTTATGTGAGTTAGGATCTGTCTATTTCCTAGGGGGAGTCTGGGAGGAAGGTTCTGCAGGACTTGTCTTTCCAGGGACTCCGGGGAACACCCTAGTGGTGGATTGTTTCGGATGACCTAGTGATTGGTCATGATGATATTCCGGTGAGGGAATGTCATGTGGGCCACGTGAAGGATTCGGGTCGATAGGTACTTATAGCCACGTTACAGAAGGTGTCTGAGCATACTTGAGGGAACAGAGATTCTCTCTAGGGAACAAGTGAGGTTTCCTATATATATCTCGAGGGGACATATGAGTTCTCTCCAGGGGACAAGTGAGGTCTCCTGCACGCCGATTGTTTGACGGACTGTGTGTCTTGAGAATGTGAAGGCGTGGAGCATACCGAGCCTGACGGGCGGCCGCCCGAAAGGTGAGCGGATGTTATACACCCCGATCTCAGGGTGACGACTCTGGGAGTATAGGGTATATATATATATATTGAGTACGGGCATTGCATTCTGTAATGTGATTATGTGTATGAAACTTGATGAACTTCAGGGATCGGGAAGGATCTCAGGTGGTGCTGGCCAGGTAGGGCCAGGAGTGTGGTTGTGTTTGGGTCTAGTCTAGGGTTGTTACTTACATTTGGAACCTCGGATCGGACGACTCTGGAACTTATGTAGCGTCTTGGTCGTGCATGTTCTTGTTTGATTGTTGCACGGGCAATTGGTTCATTTACTGGGTCTACGGTTGGTCGGGCATGTTCTTGTTTGATTGTTGTGCGATCAATCGGGCAGGTCTGGTCAGGACTATAAACGGTACATTCTTTTGTGTCTCCGGGGGAATCTGGTCGGATTTTCGGGCGGAAGTGCTAACCTTGGCAGGGATCGTGT